CTGTAACAGAACACATCTTTTATGATATAAGAGCTGGATTTAAAAATATTTAAATAAACAAATTTTGTCTGAATGGCTCAGGCTTTTGACTTTTTGATTTCCTGGCAGTTACTTTGAGGCAGCACCACCATATTATTTGTTTAAAGTTGAAAACTGACTGAATATTGCGATTTTAGGATGTCCCTTAATAAACCCATCTCTTACGAGTATCCAGCATGTGTTGGGGAAATAGAGACTTTGTTGTTATGCTAACCGCTTGACACCCTCATTAACTGTTACCATAGAAACAGATCAGCTTCTGCCATCAATCGCAAGGTTGAAAGAAGAACTTTTACTTTATTGTTCATTTTCAAAATCATGTTTTTTAAAATTTCTAATACTTGCTTTTAGTAAATGCAAATCTTAATAACTTGATCATGTTTTGTTTTATTTTCTCCTTAGGCATGTCAAAAATCTTGGAGAACACTGCCCTGTTTGGAGATCTCATCCTCTTCATGCCTGACATTGTTCACAGCATGTATGACAAAGAAAAGGAATGGCAGATCTTGCTGGCTTGGTCTTATGGATTCAGCACACAGTCTGGAGTCTACGAGGGAAATTATAAGACAATGCTGACTCTGGTAGGTTTCACATCATGCTGACCTGAATAAGTGACGGAGATATAAATTACATCTTTGGATAATATTATATTTAGTTTTTGGAGCAGTTAGAATATTTGATGACTGCTATCTCATTTTAATTAGTAACTAGGGCTATTAATAAAAATTTCCAGCGCTTTTCGTTTACTTCAACAAAGTTTTATATTTATTCTTGTTTTTCAAACTTCTTTTATCTCATCGTATAAAGACGTTCCTTTAGCTAACTTCAATACAATGCTATTGAATTGAAATTTCTTTTATCTGTAAAATAATAAGCTTAGGACATTTAAATCCCATTGAAGTTTGAAATGAAAGTTCATTCTTCTTCTAGCCAGCTTTATTGCTGCTGAGCTGTGAGCTCTTTTGCAGAGTGTGCTGTTTTCTTCAGTTGTTCAGCACTGCCGCACATGGTGTTGGTTATGTTGGGCTGTAATGGAAGTAGGGTCTGCCTAAGGTGGATTAGGGAGAGGCATTCAAAGAGGATATGGTTTACGCTTTCAAAGGGGTGGGTGCAGTGTCTGCAAAGGGGGAGTTGTGTGGAGTTTATTTTGTTCAAGTGGTAATTTAATAGTGGTGTGTGTCCTGTTCTTAGTTGGAAAATTGTAGATTGTTCTTTGCGGGGGAGGAAGTTAATACTGTCCAGTTTGTTAGGCATAGTCATTTCTTTGTACATGGTTCTGCCTGTGTCTGTGTTTCCTGATGCCCATTGGTTGAGCTAAAAAGTTCATTTAATGTTCATCTAAAAAGAAATATTTAGATTGGACTGCTTTGTAATATGTTTATCTGTCAAAAGAAAGAAATATTTTTCAAAAAATTAAAAATCTATTCTAAAATATTTTTCACTATCTCTTTAAAATATTGTTGTAAAATTGTAACTTCCTCTTAAGTAACATAGAATCTAATGCTTTAAGTCAGTGATGCCCAAAATACAGCACACTTGCCATGGTTTCATCCAGCCTGCAGAAACAGCACAAAGTGTAGAGAAAATCTCTCCCCCAAAAAAGGTTGAAAACTGTACAATTACCTACTTTACGGCCCTCACTCTTTCTCTGATCTATTGGTATCGTGTCAATGACCTTTATTATTTATGTTTGAAATGGAACTCTGAATGTAGCTGGAAGTTAATGATCTTTAATTTATATTTTAACATGATAATAAGCCAACATGTTTCGCTGTTTTGAAAACAAAACATATAAACGGCATTATGAAACAAATATGGTGGCATTCTTGAGATTGGAGGATTGATGTTAATATTTTCCAAAAAGAGACAAGAAATTGAGTTGGTGGTAAAGCTATATCTATATAGTTGCTCACATTTTAAGTAGAGAAATGAAGCCATTTTCTGATGCGTAAAAAATATAAACTTCAAATATCCAATTAATCAATGTAAATACTAGATCCCCAGGGTTTCTAATCAAAAAGTTTCAGGTCAATTTCCTTTTGTTTTTGTAGGCCTGCAGGTCGAATTAGGTTGGGCATCATGACTCTAAGTGCAAGCTTTTTTTTTTTAACAATGCATCTTATCAGTCTGAAGGGCTTAACCAGGAATTTTTTCATTGGGGAGGTGGTGGTGTAGGGGGTTGGTTAATGTTCCTTTTTTTTTTTAATCTACCATTCATAAATTATTAAGAGCTAAGTGGCTGCTCTTACAAAAAGTCAGCTTCATAAAGAATGAATTGACTTTTTAAAACAAACTTGTTTTTATGTTTTTAGTTTATACATTTGTACAATGAAGTCTATTGTTGTGTATTTCTATTTCAGGGAGCCATGGAGGCAAACATTATTCCCAAAGGAAAAGATTTTATCAATCCATTTAAATCTTTGACTAAGGTAACAAATGAGATGATACTAATGTAACCTTTAAATTTTAGTTAGATCTGATGTTATCTAAATCCCTTTATTTAACTTCTAGGGGATTCATACAAAAAAAAATTGCTTTTCATCCTATTTGAAGTTTTTTGGACTTGCTATACTTCAGGAAGTTGTAGTTTTATCAATGTTACCATCATTTTTTTATATGGGTTACTTTATATGACTTGTACGTTACTCTTTTTTTTAAGGTTTCTAGTCATATGCATACCTTCAAAGTAGAAAAGTAATTTATACGCTGAAGTTTCTAAAATTTTTCTTAGATGTTTATAGCTCCTATTAATTGTTGTCTTAAAAAATGTAGAGTCACTTTTTATTTTCTTCATTCTACATCCAATCACCCTAAGAACTTAAGGCCAGTCTTGATGACTTTGGCATTAAATCCTTGTATTTGGTAATGTCTTAAAAACTGTAGACATTTTAGTTTTGGTTTGCACACTTGATGTTAATTTGATAACTAAAAAAAATCAAGAAGGGATTAAAGCAGTAGCGCACGTTTTTGTTTAGAAAACTTGTTTTAATGGAACTTTTGAAACATTTCAGATCCAGTCTCTGATGGATGATGCCCAGAAAGATCCTAAGAAAAATAAAACGAAAAAGCCAAAGAAGAAAATAGAACGAGGACCGAAGCTGAGAAAGACAGAGCTTTAGGGAGGCTTGAATTGTTTTGTTACATTCTGATCTCAGTGTTTTTTTTTTCTCATACTAATGGCTTCTAGTGGAATAGCTGTGAAATGAATTAGATGATAGCCCTTGAAACAGTGCAGACAGCAGAAATAAAACTGTAAGTCCAAAAAACTTCAATGTGATAGAAGTATTTTCATAAATTGATTTTAATTACCTTGATAAAGTAAAACAAGTTTGAACATTGCTTAGATAGAAAGGTCTTCTGTTTTACACCAAGTTACTTTTTGGCCAAAAAGTCACAGAAAAATTGAAGTAAAAAATACAGAGTTATAGATCCTTAACAGAATTGTATAATAATACTTTTACAAACATATTTCTTACAAATCTTAATTTGTTTCATAAAATTATTCGTTCCGACTAATCCTAATTTGTTTAATTTTGAAAATTTCATTCACAAAGCTTTTTATTTTTTTTAAAATTCATTTTCACTTGGAGTTAAAAAATACTTGTCATCTTTTGCACTGTTTCCTGGCCTATCATTTTATATTTGTACATGTTATTCTTAATATGTACTAGATGTAAGACAAACTCGTTTAAATCAATGAGCCTTATACAAAAGTTTAAATTGTCTAAATCTTGATTCTTTTTAACAATTTATTGAGCCCAACATAGGACTTCCTAAGCTTATTTATACAATCTACTTAAAACCTTTCATCTTTATAACATTCTTGATCTCTACTTTCATTTTGATTAAAAGGTATCTTAGTAATATGATAATTAGTTTAATTGAGAAATTTTAACAAAACGTTTGTTTAAAATCTTGTCATATATCAGTTTTTGCTTGACAACATATAGAAAGAAGCTCTAAAATTATTCTAACAAGTCCCTTTTTCTTTTTGAATCTTAAAATTTTTGTGTGTCATGCGACTAAATTTTTGCTGGAATCTTTTTCAACCTTTTCTTTCAAGAGGTTTATTATAATCTCAGTCTTTTTTTTTCTTGTTATTATTTTTTTTGTTGAGTTAAGAGTTCCCCTTAGTTAATGTTCAGCGCTGCATTTCATATGACTTATTTTTAAGACTGACTTATCATTCTTAAGACATTTTAATTATGCTCACACAGTATTCCTTTACAGTTGTGGACACCTAAACAATTTTTTTGTGTGTGGGAACTAATTCTGATAGCTTTTTCTTTGAATAAGAAGTTGTGAAATGCTCAAATGTTAGTTTAACCAATTTACAGTCATCCATTTTTAAACAAGTAAAATGACAAATCTATTCCTGAAAATGTGTATATAAAGGGGAATAATTGTAGGTAGTAATTAGATTTTTTTGCATTGATATATGACAGATCTAAGTTCTTACATTGTAGGCAATCTGGATTATTTGTTTTGTGGATTTGTCACGCAGTCATGATTTTTAATGAACTGTGTATGTTATTTAATATTCCATTTAAAATTAAATTTGACACACTGACTCAAAATGTTGGTTCAGATGACTTTGTGTGTCAATCCTATTGAATAACTCGGTGGCAGCTTCTATTTTACATTCATTTATTTAATGTTATTTCCTGGCTATTTAATACCATGTGTGAGCTCAAGTTGCTTGTATCCTGGCTGTTTAGTATCATGTTTCAGTTCTATAAGTCACAACTGTATCTATTTTTCTTTCTACTTCTAAATGTATTTAGTCCAGGTATATGTTTTAACAACTTTTTTTGCATGATAACTTAACAATTTTTTTGCATTCAGATATTAGTTTTCCTATCTCCCTGTACTAAATCCAGTTACAGTAAAACTTACTGTAATATTTTCTTCAGTGTTTCTGTGTTTTTGTTTTCAATTTAATTCCTAAGTTTGCAATGCAATGATTTTATTGTTTCTGTGTTTTTGTTTTCAATTTAATTCCTAAGTTTGCAATGCAATGATTTTATTGTTTCTGTTTTTTTTTTCTTTCTCATTTTTGAAACGTTGCTAACAGCTTCACTTTGTCCGATAAATGAAAGTTGTATCACATGATCTGGTGAAATACACTTTATTGGTATAAAAATCAATTGCAAACTACAATGATCAAACATGGAAAAAAAAAAAATCAATCAATCAAGCAACAAACAAACTTAATCAAATGGTCAAACTTGTTGCATATTATAATATCATAGATGGTGATAATGCTTGACTTCATGACATTGAAAACTATGAAAAAAAGGATACACTATATGTTTTTTATTTTCTACATACTTGTTTTACTACTCAGGCTAACTGATTGAATATTGGCATGGAAAAGCAAAACATTGTACAAGTTTTAGCAGGATATTCACTGACCTTTTTTTTTTTTTTTTTTTTTATACATTTATTGAACTTGTATCTTAAGGTCTTTAATGATTGCATTTATAAGTTTATCTGATTGGATTTTAACAGATTTATTCATGACTTTTTATGTGATTTTGTATTACCTACATATTTGTGATAATTAGTTTATTAATAATTCTTTTCTTTTGATCGTTTTTCTATAAACAAAATTCCCTTGAGATAAAAAAATAACCAGTTTTTGTGGCTTGCCACTTGCTACACTTTTGTGACCAGTACAGTGACCGTTTCAGGTATCTTTTAAGTCTGGTGGTCTCAGCCACCTGATGAAATGTCAACAAATAATTCCATTCTTAGACTCAAACAGAACTAGAAGATCTTTTAAAATGCATGTGATATATCTGTATGCTTATTGCCTCCTAAGTTTATATTATCTTGACTCTCTTAATTTACTGCATCAGCACCCCAAAAAATGAAAAGCATTTTCTGACATTGCTAAACATTTCCACACTTAACAAACGGATGAAACTTCAAAATATTGCATAATATTATTTATATTGTCTGAATTCCTCGCATGTGTGAACGTAGTTTTGAACATTATAAACAGAATTTCAATGAGACCATTAACTGTACTCTCAATTCTTTATTTTTGCTTCATTACTGCAAGGATTCTCCATTTGTATTTTGTGCCTTATTGTTACAACTAGCTATGGTCAAAATATGTTATTTATGTACAATAAAATTTGTTTTATTTAAGTTTTTATGTTGTTTTTTTTTCTTGTATTTCTGAAATGGTGATCAATCATCTATAATCTTTTGAAGGGAAAGAACTGAAAAAAAAAGTGCCATTTGAAATGAATATGATCACTGATGCCAACCAAAATAGTCTCTTGAATATTTAAAATAGGTTGAGGTAGTTTATATAATTTTGAAGTTTGCCACGCAGCGTATAATGTAGCTATTGCTAACTTAAAAGATTGATTGTCTTGGAATTTGTAAAAAAAAAAAATAATGCTTCATAAAAAAAAAAGCAAAATTACGAAAAGCAACAACAACAAAAAAAACCAAACCCAACATACCCATGAGAGACAAAAGCTGGTAGAGTACATGAACTTGATTTCACACTTGGGAGATATTTGTAATGTCAATAAAATGAAATGTGACATAATACAATTTTATCAAACACAACCTTTGTACATAGTTTACATATTACACACAAATGCATTTATTTGTCTTGATCTAGTCAGAACCAGTTTAAAACAAAATCTGTTGTTACTGACGTAAGCCAGTTTACAAAATCACTTTGCTCACTGCGTTATTCATGAGGTAATAAAAAAAAATTATTTATATAATTATTATGATTGTATCTATATAAATTAATGTGCACTTCTATCTTCATGTAAGAGCACTGTCACCAGCTGAGGATAGGCTGCTGACACTGCTGGAGACGGATTTCTATGAAAAAAAAATTCCTCAAGTCCCAATAAAAAGAGATATAGGCTCGAATTTTGATTTCATTGAGCTTAGAGTTGTCAGGTCTGTTCAGTCCTTGAAGAAAATATGAAAAATATATGTACAAACAAAACCATTTTTAAATATATAGCACCATTAATGTTGATACAAAAATAGATATTGTACAAAACATTTGAACCAAATAAAAAAGCATCCCTTGGTTTTTTGGACATTGTATGTTGAACACTTCCAAAGTGGAGTATACAATACAAATATTTTGTTTCTGAAAAGAAATCTGAGCTTTTAAAACAGTTATGGTTTTGACACCTTCAGTTTTGATGAGTTTGGTCGAGAACTTTAGATATTTAAGTTTGAATGAATTAAAAATAAAATGCTATCACTTGCACATAAAACAAATGATTAGTAAAAAAAATTTAGATACCATACTTTTGTAGTTGAGATAACCATTCTCAGTGTATTTCTTGGTCCTAGCCTTTATTTGTACTTTAATACTTTTTTTTTCCTTTTAAATATGTCATTACTTTTTCTAAAAATAGCGAAAAAAATGAAAAAATGAAAGGCTGGTTGTTGAGAATGGTTGCAGCATCTATAAGTTTAAGTTGGATGTCTATAAACAGAGATATGAAACAAAATGTGTAAAGAATTGCACAATGGGCCTGTAAAAGTTAGACAAGGAAAAGCAAAATGAATCCACTAACTGTAGGAAAGAGAAACAACAAAAGAAAATGCAAAAATATAATTACACAATATGCAAAAAAGCAACAACCTTTATTAAAATGATAAATATTGTAAATGAAAACGTTTTCCTTTCAACCTTTAAAAATGTTACAGAGATGTATGTCAATTGCATAATTTTTTTCCAGCGAGGGAATTAAGAATAAAAACAAAACAAGTATTTACAACTATAATACTACGACACTGGTCATGTGGTATGCCCTTCAGACTGTTGTTACCATGACCCCAAATTTAGTCCTGCAAAAGGTTTGGGCTCAGACATGATAATCTTCATTTCTGAAGGAAATGTATAAAACAAAACAAATATTTGTTCCTACTCAGTAGTTAAAACAAAAAATAGTAACAATACAAAAAATATATATCATCCGAGAATAAAAATGAAAAAAAAAAATCACTAAACCCTAGTCTATGGAGTATTTTAAAGTATAGCTTTTCTTTGCTGCCTTGTAAAAAAAAATTTGAATAACATTGATTGAGCTTTGACTTGTAAAAATTCTATAACAAAATGTTTGTCATAATAAAAATATATTTTTTTTGTACTTTGATACTTTAAAAAAAATTCATATCTTAAAGGTAGTAAAAAGCTACATTATGAAGACTAAAAAGTAATAGAGAACATCATTTATCTTAAGGTCAGTTCATTTATTATAAGATGTCACTTTCTAAAGAAGAGGAGATTATATAGAAAAACTAATCAATTTATAAGATCTTATTCACTTTTTATTTAAAGTTATGGAGATTATTTAGTAAAACTGATCAATTTATTAGGTCTTAGTCACTTTTTAAAATTATTGAGATTAAAAAAAACTGAACAATCTTAGCTGTATTTCTATGATGAGGTTTTAATGACAAATATTTTTTTTTTTAAATTTGGTTTGTCATGAATTGTAGATCATTTTTGACCTAATATCAATTCAACAATTTCAAACTTCTGATACATGTCTTTTATGACTGTGAAATGATCAAGTCAATTTTACTCCTGTATTTCTAAAATTAAAGTTTTCTCTTTAACTTGTAGGCCTACATATTATTAGCTTCACTGCTATTTTTGTATTTACATTTCTTAGAAAGAGTTTACATTTTAGAAATGAACTATAACTGCTTAGTAAATGACAAAAAAAAGCGAAACTGGCTATTACTCTAAGAAAGGTAGCCATCCGTCTTTCTTGGTATAAACATTTGTTAGTCATGGGTTGCGCTCCTTCTGATAGGCATGGTACCAGATTTTTGACAAGCAGATGGCCGAATGGAAACGGAAGTAAATAAAGAGAGGCACACAGAGATGGAGCATGATATTCCAGGGCAGGATACCATAAAACTCTAGGTGGAATGGCACAACCATGGTCTTCTTGATCTCAAACATACTGACCACCCAGAGAGCAAGATTACAAACCAAGAGGAAAGTGACTACTGCTCTGCCAGGCTTGCTTTCTACCTGAAGGTCATTCTCAGCTCTGCGACAGAGTCCATCAAGGATGAAGATGGCCTGAAAAAAATGGTACCATAAACAATGAAATCTGAAACAGGATCACAATGGCCATTACCTATGATGACCTGCTGACTGCCTGCTGTAAAAATGCAATGACTGACCACTGAAAATGCAAACTAAAACTGTATGGTCATATTGCGAGGTCCTAAGGGCCTACAAAAACATTTCTGTAGGCAACAGACCAGGAAAAAAAAGGAGTAGACAGAGAAAGTGTTGGGAAGAAAAAGTCAAAGAATGGAAAGAGACTCTAGTCAGAGCAAAAGACAGAGAGGAATGGGGATAGTCAACAGTTCATGTGTAGTGCCCCCCACAGTTCAACAGGCTATAATAAGGGATAGGTAAAAATCCATATTCATAAAATCCCAGAAGATAAACTTTTCATTTCCATCTGAACATAACTATGTTTTATAATTATTTTGAAATGATGATTCATCATGTTTTATAATTATTTTGAAATGATGATTCATCATGTTTTATAATTATTTTGAAATGATAATTCATCATGTTTATTATGTCTTATTTGGTCTGAGATCATAGACATTTTTGTACTTAAATATTAAATCTTACTTGATATAATTGCAGTCAAAGCTTAAATACAAATTGTTTCATACCTGCAAAGTAGATTCCAAAATTCCAACACAAATGACAGCCAGTGACAAAATACTGATGACGCCATGTTTCTCAACCATAGAGGCAGAAGAAATTAACATGAAACACAGATAGATGTAGGCTCCTCCAAGGGAAATGACCAGAAGAACAGCATCCAAGGACAGATAATTTTCGAGGAACTTAAGTTGGACAAAGCGAAGCATTCCAAATATAATGCAGCTTCCAGTGATTATGATCAATGATATTTCCATGATGAAGAAAATCTAAAAGAAATTATTCAGATACAGAGCAGAAAAAAAATTTTTTAGTTTATTATGTGGACAGTACTCTCAAATTTTTAAATGATGAAACAAACTTTACTTAAACCTATCTGAAAGCGCCTGCAGTATCAAGCTTTACAAGACAAAAATACAATTTTAAATAGTTTAGTATCCTTAATTCTCCAGTACATCTCAACTAAAGACATAGTGGTCTAGCATTATTTTTATAGTCCTAAATAGTTACAAATTTGGGTTGACAAAGGTCAGTAATCCAAAGGAAAGGCAAACTTTTATATCCAGATATTTTGTTCCTTTGTAAAATATTTTACATGTTTCTGATGTTCCTTCAAAGCTAAAGATAATCTACATTGTAGCCCAAACCTCTCGCAGGATGATGGGGATGGCAGTGGGCAGGGTTCAAACCTGGGATCACCTAGACCACCGAACAACAGTCAGAGCACATAGCGCGAG